ATTCTTATATATTGTACTTTTAGTCTTCAACGCTAGACCGATTAATTCTTATCACTGCAATTTCATTGAAGTGTCTCTCAGGCTTAGATCATCCATACCCTTTGGCATTAACGAGCAATGATCATTAGGCCCTTCTCACAAAAGACTTTCTAGGAAGTAAAATTAATTAAACTCTTCTGAATTGATTCAATTGAAATAAACACACATTAAAATGCACGTGGACGAACTTGAACAAAGCCAAATCCCATCATGGTTAAAGAGCCAACTCTACAGCCAATGGTTACAAATTCATAACCCAATCCAATAACATCGCGTGCCAAATTTGGATTAAAATACTTTTATTTGACCAAACCCTTTCGACATCCCCATCAAACCTCAAATTTAGGCTCACAATTTGGCCTGTTCATTGAATGGGACTGGAGAAAAATTTACTCTTTCGGCTCAATAAATGTCCTCTATTCTGACCAATATATCTTACTACATTCAGACAACCTTAAGATTTATTTATCCCTAGGATGAAACTTGTGGCTGTTGAATTCCTCTCGCATCATAATTACCTTTCTATTCCTTTAAGAGGATCTCTTCATGTGATTAATGTAGAATCCTGTTGAGATTGCATTAAGAGCTGCTCACGTGCTGCTTGCGCATGGGGGATCCCTTCATCAAAAGGGATTTTAATCTTTATCTAATTGATATCTTCTTCATCTTGCGTCTACCAATTCCATTCTTTGTCTCACCTAAAAAGGAACTTGGAATAAAGCTGAGGAAGAAGACCATTGCATGGAATTAATGTGAGCCATTTCATTTTCTAGGGTTTTGCACCGTAGGTTGTAACTGGGGTCAAACCTTTATATGATCTTTCGATGAAAACATGCATGATCTAAAGCAATACCCGTGCATTGATAACATGTGAGCAGCACGTCCTTTAGATTTGAACAGGTGTGGATCCCTTTATTTGGTTGAAATCCTCATGCTTATTATTATTATTATTATTATTTATTTATTTATTTAGAGGTATTTATGTACAAACCAACAAAATCCTATGTATTTAAGTCTCTAACACCTAAACTTTACTTTTTTTTTTTCCTTTATATCACCCAAATATTTCATATCACTTCAAAACTACCTCTATTATAACTTTTAAAAAGTGGAACACATCTTTTCATCCATATCTAAGGTGGCATGTATATAAAAATTGATGTTTAGGAGTTTGATATGTAAATACATAGGAATTGAATGGTAAGAATGCGAAAACTTCCTATTTATTTATGGTATTTTGACATATCTTTTGAGGAATTGCACGGTTTTAAATTCAGAGTTGTCTCGCAGTCATTATAATCTGTGAAGTAAATTATAAACATTTCGTTGCAAAAATAGTGTGAAAGACTTGTTTTTTTTTTTGGGATGAAATGTCGTGAAGACACATAAAATAATATCAAAAGCTTCACCTATACAAAACTTAATTTACTATTGTAGTGTGGATATTTTGGCCCTTAAGTTAAAGTGGATTATTTTTCTTCCCCTAATTTTTAATTATGATTAAACCACCTTTTTAGATGACTTTTTTGTTCTTGCAATACTATATTGATGGGGGGTCAAACTATATAACCCAATTTAGATAAAAAATTTAGTCAATAATCGGTTAACATAAAATTTATAGTTAAGTATTAATTTATAGTAATATTTTTCCTTGAAATTAGGACTAAAAGCAACTTCTATTAAAAATAGCTATAATTTTCATTAAATTAACACTATTCCTTGTGGTACGATAGATTTTAATTTTTTTTTTAATTTTTGTTATATAACTATTTAATTTTGATTAAAATTTTTATTGTCATCCATAAATCTTTAAATGATTTGAAGTATAGCAATTGAATATTCATATTGTATTTTTGGACTTGTGTAGCTAAAAGTGAGAAAAAAAACTTTTAATGTTTTTATGTATTTACCATAGATGTTGTTAATTGATTAACTCTTTCTCTTCTATTGCTCTCTTCTTTCTATCTCCTCTTTTTCATCATATAACAAACTTAAGCTCTAAGTTTGGTGTCCTTAAAATAAATTTGCATGCATGATTAGTTATGAGCTAGCTATCATCATAATCCGTACTTCATGTTATTACATTTAACAAACTGTATGGAATCACTATTTGAGATGTCTCTATATGGAAGGAAAAATGTACTCTATGCATTAGGTATCTCAAATCATATACAAAATTTATGTTAGACCTAATAAAGAAGAAATGATACTATATTGCAACTTATTTAGAAGATTATTCAAACTTAGGAAAATTATTTCTTTTGTACTTGTAGGTAGATACAAAATATGTCAGAACCAAAAAAGTTGTGATTAAATAATAAATTCTGGAGGCTTTGTATATATTCACACATAAAGAATTTTAAATAAAATCAAATGATAGTAAATGATAGCTTATAACTAAAATATAATTCAATTATATTTCAAGTCTAGAAATACACATAATTTTATCTTTTTCATGCTAAATTTGATTTTACCAGCAAATTGGATTATTTAATTATATGCAATATGATTAACTCCAGTGAATTTTACTTGTTGTTTAAAACAAGAGTAAAACATCTATAGTCAAATCTTTGGCATCGACAAAATAAAAAAATTTCTACCAACATTTTGAAGAAGGATATTTGTCTAAGTTATTGAGTGTTTAACTGCCTAAGGATGACGAGAATGCTCTATGAAGAGATTAATGAGCACATATTAATAAGTTATGTTACGATGAAAAAAATAACATCACTTTGCTAGGACAAGCCAATATTATCTCTATTTTACAATTAGGTTACAAAAAAAAAAAAAAAAAAAACTTCTCTCCCCCAATAGGGCTGTCAATTT